AAAACCATACTTCTTATGAAAGAGATTTTATATAAAAATACGTAATCATATTTTACGAATCATATCACTTTGAGGATTTTACATCATACCGTTAGCTGTTAAATACCGAAGTTGTAAACATAACGCGTGATTTGTCACGGTGACTCGTGTAATCGCAGTCTCTTCAAATAAAGTAGTTGCGAGGCGTGAACACGTGATGGAGGCCAGGTTCTCTCTTGTCTGTACTGCCTACACTACAGTTCAACTACATACCACTAAGAAGCCCTCTTAGGAATTTCTATTCAAAAACTCTATCTGCAGCAAAAAATGTACATCAGTTGTCATATTATATTTTATTTGTGTTCTTTTTTCAAATTATACTTTAAAAAAATATGACACGGTAGCTCGGTTGATTAGAGGAGCAGTGTGGGTGCCGGTTCGAGTCCCGTCTGTCTCGTAATATTTACGTAATAAATATAGTCATAGTGCTTACAATTTTACCTTACCTTATTTACTTAACCATTATTTAGTGTTCGAATTTCAAATTACTGCTTCATAAGCTTTTGTTAGTTAGCCTTTTCGTCTGTAATTTAATTTTGGAACACAAAATAACCTCATTATAAATATTACGTTTTACAATTTACTCTTAAAATCTGATACACTTAAGCAAACTTAAATTTGTATCGCTACTCTTAGAGCGGTTGCAAAACAAAGACCTTTACTGAACAATTATTTGAGTACCATTCATCAGATAAGGATGAACATAGTAATTATGTGTATAGCTGAACATTTGAATTTCTTAAAAGCTTTTGTTTTTAAAACAAATAGATACTGAGAGTCAGTCTTCAATATATGTTAGCCTAATTAAATATCGAACCCTGAAAATTCCAAATTCAAGCCGTAGGGAAAAGCTTTATTAGTTTTCTTAACAATTTTCGGCGTCTCACAATAACCCAGGTTAATGTGAAACCGCCTCTTTAGCCAAATGGTTAAACGTATTGCCTAGTATTGCGTTAAGCGCGAGTTAATGAGGTTCTAGGATTCGAATCCCAGGGAAACAAAAAAAAATGTTTCGGTCGGGCAGGGCACATAACATCAATTACTCGCCTATTATAAAGGACGGATCAGTGAAACGAACACGAAAATGTGTTCGCCCGGGTTCACGGGGGGGGACTCTGCTATTATCAATTTTATGCATTTAGTGGCTGGATTCGAATCCACGACCACAGATTTTCGTTCTCTACCAATTAAGGTATCCTATCTGCGATTTTTACAAACCTTCTTTCAAACATCTCTTGCTCAATACTCGCGTGTGTAGATAGAATAGATAGCTTTTCGTTGAAAGCACAGACTGAGTTGAAATAAAGTAAGATAATACAAAATTCTAGAACACTATGCACTGATAATATTTAGTAAGATGGCCTTCTACCATGTGCGCAGTTTATAGGTCAAATTCACGCACCGCGGCCGTTTGCCCAAGAACAATTATTTATAACCTCCTACTATTTTATATGATTACGCGTGATCCATCGTATTTTAATATATTCATTCGTGTGACTAACCCTTACAATGAAAAGAAAAAAAAGATTAACTTTATTTGTTTTTTTTTTACTAAAAGGCGAAACTTATAAATACTGTCTGTAGTTTACGCGAGTAGTACACGTTTAAATAAAACACTTCCAGTCGTGGTCACGGCGAGACCATGTAGTTAAAATAATTTTCAATCAAGTTTAACTAATAAATATCGCGTTTTAAACCGTTAAAGTTTTTTATTTAAAGGTGAAACTGATGTTTAAACTGGACACGTATACTCGTATCAATAGACGTTACAGTTATCTAATTAATATACCTACTTATATTTTTTTCAGAGTTTTCTATGAACAAAATTCTAGTTAATGATATTAGATATAACCGATTTTAGTGATGAAACGAAACGATGAAATGAAAAGAATCTCTTTTAATTTCGGGACTGTCGAGGTCGGGAGTTCGGTTCCCAGTCGCGCAGTAAAACTATTCATCTAGTGTAGAAAAAGAAAAGTCTCCGTAGAAATAAATACTTTATTAAACCGCCACGGGTCTTTTTAAATACGCTTGTAATATATAATTATAGATTTAGGACGATAAAATTGTCAACCAATGAATATTGACACATGGACACTCTAACCATAATTATATTTATGAATGTTACCAGTTAGTTTATTGATTTTAAAATTGAATCAGACTTGCATTCCGAAACGAAACTAGTTTTTACTCTTACGCATTGAATTTAAAATATAACTTAGGTCAGTGCTGCAAGTGTGACAAAAAATAAACAGTAAAATGTATTTGTTCTTAATTTATGGAATGATAAAATAAATGACACACATATTTACTAAGCTCCAGTGTACTAAGTGTTATTCGAAATTAATTTACCTCTGTTGCGCATGAGCCGAACACACTTTTTCACATTTCTGGGTCCGTGTCACTGATAAATTTTACTCACATACAATAATCAGACTTGTGGCCTGCCCGACCGAAACAAACAATCTGGTGCGTTTCAAACCCACATGTTGATGTACTTCTTTTTGCTTTGAAGTAATCTATATTAATATTATCTAGCCGAAGAGTTTTTGTTCATTAAAACGCTACTGGTTTGAATTGATTTTTTTTGTGTTGGTTGGACCATTTATCGAGGGGGCCTTTAAGCTATAAAGGAGGGAAGAAACAGGGGAACATGTGGAAAAACGGGGAAAATTTAATTTTTCAGGGGTTTCGTAGCGTGCGCCGCGAAAACTGTTCATGTTACAAAAAATATGTATCGAAGAATGATTCCACTTTAAATAATCTAAAAACATATCGACGACAACATATGTCTTTCTTTTATAAAATAACTCACAAGAACCGCTTTTGTAGTAATCAAATTTCGTCGAAATACTGCATACGCCAAAAACACGCTTGAGTTTGAGTCAGCATATAAAATTGTTTTCTTTAAAATAAATAGGCCAATATTCGATCGCAATAACGTGTTAACGCGCGCTTGCTCAAATTGTTGGTTCGATGTTGTTTCTCGTTATTTACATAATTGCACAACTCATACGATAAAAGGTACATTAGACATCGTGCACAACATTTGGGCGTCCTTGACTGACCACTGTTGAAGAATTTATATTGAAATTCTCTCGATCTTAATGTAAGAAGCTTGAGGCGTTATAAACGACTGTCGATCGACTGACGATCTAGAATATTAAAAAAATATTCTTTGAAAAGCTTGTAAGGCTAAATATTAGACTTGTATGTATGTTTGCTGTAGTGTCCGTTATGTCGGTTTGTTACAAAAATCTAACTAAAACTTTTACATATTTTTAAATTAAATTTTTAATTTAATTCAAACTAAAAACAGACTATACGAGTATATTATATATTAGCATGTTTGGAATTTGAGTTGTTGATTTAAATTAAAAATCGACTATAGATTGAGAAAAATTTACGACACGGGCAGGACTTGAAGCGGCTTCAACAGCGTTCGGTGCTGTTGCTCTAACCAATTGAGCTATCGTGTCCTCTTTTTAATTTATCTTACAATATTGTACAAGGTTCGATGCTCAGTTAACACAATTATCATTACCCCAAACGGCTGCTTGTGCATGCAGATAGAATAAACCGGAATGTGGCATATGCCGAGCCGTGTTCAGCGCACGTGCTAGACGGCATTTCAATATATAAAGTATAAACTATAAATAAAATAACGATTAAGAAATTATCAAAGGCAATAAAAGTGTGTCTATAGACTTTAAGCTACGTTTGTACTATACGCGAGTAATACATATATATGTATATAAAACACTTTTATGGTTTAAAACGAGAAATATATTAGTTAACTTATTTACAGCAGCTGTGGTCACGGGGGGGGAGGGGAAATCACTGCTGCTGCAAAGCATAAGAAACGTCGGAAGAAATTTATTCATCTCGCGTTTTAAATCTAAGGGTGTTTTTATTTCAATAAATTTGAACTTTTTAATAACTGATACTGATTAAACTTTGCTACTTAGTTATACTCTAAATGTTTTAACAAGCTATAAGTAGGTCGAGCTATAAAACCAATTAAAACCGCTTTCAAGCGCCGAATATATTGCACTTAACACGTTTAATCAGTTAAATAAAGGCATAGTACAAATAATACTTATACATATATGTGATTTACTTAACTTAAGTCAATACAAACTACTACATTCAAGTTCCGACGAGTTCGTACACCCACTAACTAAACCTACGTAAATATATAATTGATGCTTATAATATTTCTGGTTAGAAGAGGTTTTGTATGTAGTGAAATCTTTTCTCATCTATCTATACTAATATATAAAGTTGAAGAGTTTGTTTGATTTAAATAAAACATTTCTAGCCATTTAAAACGAAACGTACCTGAAGTTTCGCTTCCTAGTAATATTAAATACATAATAAGTTAATTAATATTATATAGTTCATGTCATAAACCGTTACAAAAGTTTTATTAAAATCAGTGATGATTCAAACATATCTTTGAATATTGATAAATAATAAAACATTACCTTTATACTGGCGAAATAAAAAAAGGCTTAAGTAATTACAGTAAAAGGCGAGAACCTTTAAAAAAAAATCGGCATTTTCTTTAAAATTTTGCCAAGTTATGCAATAACCTCCATTATTATAATAAATTGAATAAGCGAATAAGTGAATTTTTTTAAATTAAATTGTTTGTCAATTGTCTAGCATCAAAAACCATTTAAATAAATCACCTTTAACGGTTTAAAACGCGAAACATATTGGTTAACTTATTTTTAATTTATTTCGAATACCCCAGTATTCGAAATAAATTAAAAATAAGTTAACCTACATATATTGCGTTTGAAACCGTTAAAAGTGTTTTATTTATATGCGTACTACTAGCTTTTACTACATACAATGTTTGCTTTATAACCCATTATGATACGAGAATAATGTAGACCTAAGCGTAGCGAATCGTTAATTACAGTAAAACATCTTTGCAGGTGTGTCCGTCCGTGATGGGTTTAGCGTGGCGTTGGAGAAGGATCTCGGTCCTGTTACTCGCTTTTCTGGCACAGTGTTTGAGCGACCCAGGTAATTGTAATTAATAAAAATATCTATTAATTTATTAATACGTTTGTGCACCAAACATAAACTAAAATTAAAATACTTTAACGGTTTAAAATGCGAAATATATGAAACTTATTTGAAATGATTAACTACAGCCCGACGTTTCGGATGCATGCAGCATAAGTAAATCATTATTTTAATTAATATGTTTTACGTTTTAAACCGTTTTAGTGTTTTATTTAAATGTGTTATCGCGTAAGCTAACAAATAAATTAAACGCTCTCCTGGGACAGTGTAGTATATGTATTTCGGGCTTACTTTATAGTAAAGGTTTGGCGGCGAGTTTCTTGACAATTCTTCTCGTTCGTTTTACGCCCTTGATTTGAGAACTGGTAGTAAATGTGAATTTACAATTTTATTTCTAACAGTATTGACGCCTAAAGGTGAAACTACACGAATAGATTTATTCGAGTATTAGAATGACCGAGAATTAGACATGGTTCTTCCAAACAATTTTGCTAATTCTTATCCCAATTATTAACCCTTGATTTGTGAAATGGTAGTAAATGTAAATTTGGAGTCTTTTTGTGTGCATTGACGTCTGTAACTTCATGAATAAATGGATTTGAATATTAGTGTTGCAAATTAGGCATAGTTCTGCCTTCCAAAATAAGGTCTTATTATAGGACTTACTTTGAAAGGCAGAATCAGATATCTTTAGATACGATTTGGGGTGTTTATCTAAGTATCAATAACATACAAGCCCCTTGTACATACAACAAGGATGTGAACTTGTTTGAATAGCTTGACACACGTGCAACATGTATAGTCACGAGTTGAGCCTTCGATAGCCTGTTGCTAAGGCAACGGGGATAATGCTAGTGCACACTGTCAACAATAAAAAACCGCGGCTCTTTCTACAGGATTGTAAACATATTTCTGTGTCTATTACCAATGAGGTGAAGTTTATTAACAAGAAGGTAAATCTTATTACTACACGGCTGCCACATTTTTGTATAAAACCAGGATTCAAACCCGATTAACGCAACATGTTTTAATATGTTAATGACTTTTCAAAATTATTTATCAACTAATAAAGTCTTTAAAAGAATTTGATATAATAGAGATTCTGAAGAGAAACATTAGATGCGAGGAAAAAAACTAAAATTATATAAACAGATATTTTAATAAATACATGATCATTGACCTCTGTAGCTAAATGGTTAAGTGCCTGGCATTGTGCTAAACGTGAGAGGACCTAGGTTCAAACCTGGGGAAACAATAGAATGCTTCGGTCAGGCAGAGATTAGAAGTCTGTTTACCATTTGCAAAATACCGGTCAGCGAAAAACAAGAAATGTGTTCGTCCCATGCCCTACGGGGGAAGCCGGGCCTTAACTTATCCTGCTATTTTAAATATTAATTGGTCATCGTTTTAATTTTACTACACACATTGTGATTACTTTTTTTATTTTATAGAATATTTTTAACAAGTTTTTTACTGCCACTATAATTATTGACCACGTCTTTAGCCAAATGGTTAAACGTATAGCCTAGCATTGCGTTAAGCGCGAGAGGTTCTGGGTCCTAATCCCAGGGAAACATAAAATTGTTTCGGTCAGGCAGGGCACAGAAGTCTGATCAACTACTTGCCCCTTAAAAGAACGGATCAGTGAAACGGACACAGAAATGTGTTCGCCCCATGCCCCACGAGGGGGAAACGGGTGTTGGGTGAAAAAACCAAAAACAAGCAGAGGGGGGGAACCCAGCCAAGGGAGGGGGCAGCTATAATATATTTAAACAGTCGCTCTTTTTCGGATATTCTATATGTATATAAAAAAAATCTATCCGTATTAGTTTCATTTCTATAAAACAAATAAGATGACATACTTCTTTGCGAATACTTTGTCTGCACATGGACTAAAGATGTTCCAAGAACGGCTGTCTTGCGTATTGAGGATGTTTATGTAAATACATACGCGGAAATTATCGACGTTTTCCGGATGTTGAATTTTCTTCTCTTTATTAGTCGTAAACGAAGAATCTGTTGCTAATTTATCATAAGTGTAATTTTTAATCTTTATTAATACAATTAATACTAGGAATGTAATTAGATTTGAATAAGACACATTTAACTGTTCACAATTTTATATAAACTAGAAGAAGTAGAAAACTATACGAAAAAAAACTGTACATTTATAACTTCAATAACATTTTTACGGTTAAATACGTGAAATATTACTACTGCCTTTAGATTTTAGATTGCAAAATGGAAAAATACTATTATAGTTTCCCAAATTTAGGTTTTAATAGAAACTCTTATATTTCGTAGAAAATGAATAAAAAATATAGTTTGAATTTTATAAAAGATATAAATAAAGACATTCTTTAAGAAGGTTTCACAAAATTCTACGCTATAGACGAAACTAAACAAAAGGCAGTTGCGCATCGAAAACGCGTGTCTGAGGTTAAAATTCTCTCACAATTATCAGCTGGAATAAAAATTAAATAGTTATTAGCATAATACAAACCAACATTTGCAATATTAACCAATTTTCGAAAAAGCAATTGTTGACATATAGTAATTAAATTCTCAAAGACACGCTTAACAAGTGCTTTCTAAGATCTTAACGAGCCGAAGACAACCCGTCAAGTTCTTGACATTTGCATGACGTATTGGACTAGAGTCACGGAACCAGCCGAGAAGCCTTTCCCCCCGCCCTTCGTTCTACTTCCGCTAACGGTAAAGTCAAGGCTCCTAACCAATTTTATAATTATAACAATTATCTTTAATACAACGCTCTTTAACGATTCTTTATTAGCTGGATGATTTCCATCATCCTTGCGTTATTGTTTGGTTTCATGTGTGAAAAAACTCTGTAAAAAATTTGAGTTCATATGAGGCTGCTAGAGGCAGAGTTACCTAATAATAAAAACATGATTTTCAATAAGGAGGGAAATAATGTGCAACTTTTAATTTAACCTAGGCGAAAATGAATTTTTACGCTTGTTTGTGTAAGAATTATGTTAACAATTTTCGGTCACTGTGCTCTTGTAGATTAACATTTTTAGACTATGAGAATATAAATAACTACGGGAGAAAATGGCGTAAAGCCTAGATTCAGTCTGTGGATGTCTGAATGTTCAAAGGCAAAATAGTCAGGAGCGCATATTTTGTGTTGTATGGCAGAATTATTTCACCTTCCATCCAATTAACCGCACACTAGTCTGTTTTCCTCTATCATAACATGTGTTATTAGTTTCCTTGGATCATATGAACTTTATATGATTTTTAAATTAAAGAAATGTTTATTTCGTAAACTTTATATAATAGATAGATTTGCTTAAAAAAATATTATCGACTTTGTTTGAATTCGTGTGAGACATTCCTTTGTAATAAAGGAATGTCACTGTACTGGATTGAGTTGAAAATATTTTCCCATTTGTCTTATTTCAAGGAAACTTGTTAGTACAATAGCTATCTGTCGTCAAATTTAAACTGCGAAATATATCCATAAACGCAAGTCCTAAATATTGCTTCTATATTTTGCAGCTAGACCTATTGATTTTATGAATCATGAGTTCCCATTTCGTATAGTGAAAGTAGTCTGAAGGACGATTTTGTCATAATGGTCGCACCTGCACATGTAACCTACAATGGTAAAGATATGGATAATGTAAGGCTGCTAAAGGCAGAGTGGCCTAAACGAAAAACATGATTTTTCAATAAGAAGGAAAAAAATGCGCAATTGACTTAGGCGAAAATGAATCTGTGCAAGAATTATGTTAAATACTGTCTGTAGTTTACGCGAGTATTACCATTATAAATAAAACACTTTAACGGTTTTAAACGCGATATATTTTAGTTAAACTTGTTTGAAAATTTAAAACTACGGCCCGACTTTCGGACGTTTTGCAGCATCTGTGGTCACTCCTCCTCCATTTTTTAATAAAAATATATCGCAATTTTAAACCGTAAGAGTGTTGTATTTAAAGAATTAGTCAACAATTTTAGGTCACTGTGCTCTTGTAGATTAACATTTTTAGACTATGAGAATATAAATAACTCAAGTTATTAAAATTTCAGTTAGGCTACTCTGCCTTTAGCGGCCTCATATATGGGTAGGTATTTTCGATGTTGTTTACAAATAAGTAAATCATTGTGTATTAAAAAAAACCTGATGAAAAGTAAGTCGCTTTTGCGCTTTTTTTTTATCCTCAGAATCTTTAATTAATTTTGAGTTTTGGGAACCTCAAGAATATGTCACATTTGATAATTACTTTTAGACCTAAATTCCCGGATAAAACATCTGTTTCGACGAAATTTAATCTTAAAGCCAGTCTATAAAACAATACTTAATTAATTTTTCGCCTTTAAAAAACAACCCTCCAGCTCTCGACTTTAGACGTTATTTTGGGACATCATATATTTATTTTTGCAAACTTATCGTTGTTCTTGCGAGTTCATTTCAAAATATATAATATAGTGTCGTGTAAAATTTAATGAGATAAATTAATGAAAAATAATTCCTTCATTTTTTTGTTTCTTAAACAATTTTGGTCGTGCACGCAACGGAATCCCTTGAAAATGAATAAGTTTCGTCGTTTTAGCCCGCTTTAGTTCTTCCTTTCTATTGGTTGCAGCTTGAAGGCATCATTGATAAATAGTCCAGCAAACACAAAAATACCTTTTCAATTCGAACTAGTAGTTTCCGAGATTAGAGCGTTCAAATATTAATACTTTCAGCTTTATGATATAGTTGTTAAAGAAAAGTTATAAATACTGTAAATTGTAACAAGTTAACCAATTCTGAATATGCATTACAATAATAATTTCCTCTAAGTACGATAATCTTATCTTTTATCTAATTAATTAATCATAGCTATTCATAATGTCGTAAAAGTAACACGCCCTTGTTAACTCACTTTCTATACAATTTTAATGGTGAGAAAGTCGCATACGCATATTTCTTTTGTACTACTTTATTCGTAACATACAGAAAAACAAGCACCTTTTAATACGGT